CCTGTTTTATATGCTGAACACAAATTAGTATAAGCAACCCCGGGCCACTATTTATTCTTTCATAATTATTACTGTGCCCGGAACAATAGCATAGGTATGTCATACTATTATCTTTAACTGATTCATTAGATTGAAGAAGAACGTCTGCACCCATTTGACTAATAATAATGATCGCGAGAAAGAAATAATTTTCTTAAGACATTTTTGACACCTTTTTCTTGAGAATACAGATGTTGTGTATTTTCCATATACAAACAAAGTTGTTGCGTAAAGTATTATACTTATAAGGATATAGATTATATATAACACAACGATATAAAGGTGAAGACTTTGCGGCAATATTCAAACACAGCGATAAAATATGATTTATCGATTTAGAAGCTTGTAAAATAAAAAACAAAATCGCCGATGGGGCTCTAAATGAGATTTGTGCCGTTGGTCAAGGCAGTGCTTTTAAAAATATATCCTCGGATCATCATTTTTTCTTGGGGTTAATTAAAAATTAAAAACCGTACGACAGTAATATATATTATTATAATGTGCGAGTAAAGACCCTTACTCGACAAAATTGGATTCGGTGAATAATAACATAGCCCTTAAATTCTTATGTCAGTAGACGCTCTATCAGCAATATAAAAATGTCCAGCGGAAAAAGAAAATACATAAATTATTAGTTATTGACTTTTTTTTTTTTTGACGGCGTTCCGTATAAATAATGTATGAGGAATAACAAATAATAATTCACTCAATTATTATTTAGTAACTACCTCTCCAAATAGTTCAAAAAGTTTTCGATTTCATAAGTAACACACAAGTTTGTAATGGACAAGAGAAGTAAAAAATATATCGAGAATAAAGTCCGCACAACACTGACTGAGTTGAAGTTATTTAATGTTTTTATTTTCAATTGAAAATCTTAACATAACATATATATATAAATATGAAAAAACACGGTGTCTGTTTAAAATAAAAAAAAGCAATAAAACCCCCCAAAAAAGATTTATTAGTCGGTAACTTACTTAGTGCATTCTTTAGTTTAGAGTAGCTGAACCCAGAGAACAGAGAGAAAAACTATTGTCTTACTACTGGAATAAGTCGTTTGTTATTGTCATTGGTAACGGTCTAAAAAGCATAGGTACTGAAAAGAAAGTACAACTACTTTAATACATTGTTGTACTCGGCCTAACAACTGTTACTTAGCGAGCCAGTGTAATGATGACAAAGGGGCAAGGAGTGGATGTAAAAGTTTTTCAACTTCTAAAATCTATTTACTTCAGACAATCTAGAAAAAAAATACCCAGAAGAAAATGCCTAGTGAATATTTAAATAATATTACGGTAGTGTCATAATTAAGTATAAGATTAATACTGTTGGAATATGCCCTTCTCGAGCGTGATTAGCGCTTTTGTCGTTATTCGAATAAACAAAATAAAGAAACTTTGTTAATTTGAAAGGAAATTGACTAACGAGAAGATTTAATGAAGTTATTGCCACAAAAGCCCAAATGACTGACGAGGTTACGCATTTTTCTTTACAATTTATATTGACGTACCTAAGATTACATTTTCTTTCTATTTAATTATTTATTTAGTAATTCTAAAATTGAATAACTAACATGAAATGAAGTAATTCGTTTTCGAAGCCCACAATATTTGTAACTCATAGAACGTACAAAAAAACTTTCATGATATATAAGAAGAAAAACCGTAGTAAAAACAGTTGAAATTAAATATGTAGTTGGTATTGAATCCCTAGTTGATAACGTTTTAACCGCGTCGTCTAGACAAAAACTGTACTAGTCAGAGATAAATTACAATCTCTGCGAAGATACGAAGGAAGTTTCAAGACACATACACAAGAGACTTATCCAAATGTCGTGATTTGTACGAGTAGTAAACAAAACAGGATCGAGTGTATTCACAATTGTTAGTGAGCTGAGACTCAGAATAGTTAGTCAACTGTTGTGTAACTAAAACAGACTGTGACTTTACTGTAATTATAAATACGCTTAATTATTACCAACTAATTGCGTGTTAAAGTTCAAAATTATCAGTTATATTGTTTGTATTGATAGCGAAATTCGGACTATATAAAGTTATGAATTATTTAAGGACAACTCTTAAAGATCAAACTAATTTATACGTATGATTACTAATTTACTAGACCATAGCACACCCAAACAACGCCTATTTGTATTAATCAAACATAAATCATAACTTATGATTAATACTTAACTAACAAAATTAAGTTCGATCGACAGTGTACACAATAAATTAATCAAACATTTCGTTAAATTATTAAAAAGTTGCGATTGTGTGTGTTATATTCAAGTATAATAATTAATTATCTCGTGCGAAAATTACCTCGACATTTTTTAAACGTTTCTATCTGCTTGTTCAAACTCACAACAATTTTTATACGCTGATCATCCAAACATTAACAAGATAATTTGCTTAATAACATGTCGGGCAGTGGTTAAATTTCTTTTGCTCTAATATACACATTGATATGGCAATAAAAATAATTAACGTTTGACTGTTGTCGGCTACAAAAAACAAAGGATATGTTAAATAGAACAGCGGCAAATATAATAATAGTTTTGCATTTAGAGTAGGTTTCAAATTTCTTGGAAGTTATCATCTGCTTTTTATTGGTATACTTTTATCACTCAGGCGTATCATCGTGCACCTCTAACGATTTCTCACGACATACGTGTACTGTATAACTGGGCAAATTTATGTCAAAAAGCAATATACTGGGAAGCAATAAAAGAAACGCAACCCATAAAATTGTATGTTATATGTAAAAAAAACCCCACTCGATGGCTGTTTACTTGGACAATAAAAAGAACCCTAGAGGTCAGCTTTGTATACACTACACGAGATTAACAGATTAAATGTCTGTTAAAAGGAAGTTTGTGTTTAACACGTCATGACGGCTAAGTAGAATTTGTTTTAAATCATTTCATAATAAGTAGTGCGTGTTGTAACATATTTTAAATGAGCAATCGGAAACATTAATTTGTCAATGAATCCCCCGAGGCCATGGAAGTTTATAAGAAGGACCAGCGCTGTCGTTAAACAATTAACAATTGAAATTTATCTACCATGAGATTTTTATTTACAAGTGATTTATTTTCGTACAACGACAGAACTATTGACCAGATGTGTAGATGAACATTATAAACACCACTTTTCAGATATTACAGCATCTCTCGATTTGTAATTTATTTAAACTCAACCTACATTTTTTTATTCTCTGAATTTCATAGAAATCTCAAAAGTAATGTTTCAATTTTTTTACCGACAATTCGCTACAAAACTGCTGTTGTGTATTAAAACTCTACAATTAGTTTTCGAGTCGATTGACTAACTCATTAATGATCTCCGAAATGGCTTTCAGTTTTGAATGTTTGAAGTAATATTAAAAAGTGTAATGCCGTTCAGAAGAAAATTCAAGATGACTTGAATAATTATTTTACTTTTAATCTCCAAATGAGTATAAATCTAATAGTTTTTTCAATAACGTTGTTGCATAACTGGAGTGGTTGTAAAATAAAACACAATATGTGTTTCACGAACGGTATTCACGAGTGGAGTAGTAGTTGATAAAGCTCATAGATAATTGTTCAGTGTATTGACTTAGATTGCTAACATCAGTGGCGTAATAAAAAGTTTTTATAACACGTTGTTTGAATTTCCGCCGCCATTTAACAACCAATCCCATTAACTGTGTTGTATAAACAGTAGCAATAGCAGTTAACGACGAGTAAACCGCGTTTTTCAGTACCTCGGCACAGCAATGTATTTAAGGTACATAAATTAAAATCGATTCGTAATTCATTTATGTCGGCCAAAGAGCTGACGAGATAAAAATAAAACTGTCACCCTGCGGACTGCAACTGCGTTTCAAATAGTAAATTAAATAATCGGAAAGACATTGTCATGTAAAAAGCGCTCGACTGAAAAGTGTATTTATCTCGTGGGTAGATACAGTTGGCTCAGTTGTCCACTAATTGGACTGCAAGAACGTTTAAAAATAACATTCGTAAAACGGGTTATCGTGTAAATATTAAACATCCTCGTTAAAGTAACACGTATTAGAGTAAAAGAAAAACGGCGTTTAAAAAATCGTTGGATAGGAAAACGGAGACGTTAGATATTAAAAAATGGCCGAAACACATACTGCGTTAGGCAACTTCATTAATCGGGGAGCCGCTACTACGAATAATTAAAATCTGATCGAAAACTACTCGGGTGTGCATAAGGTGCTAAATATAAATGAAATAAATGTATACACAAATTAAAAACGTAAACAATCTTGTTCTCTGGTCGAAATGCCAACACGAATTGCGGGCCCGTCGAGTGACCGTTAGCACACACACATACCGTTGGAAAACGCCAACAATAACACGGTAAAAAAACCATCTGCTGGGTGCAAAGCTGCACTCGTGCGTATTCCGCCAATAATTTTAATTACTGTCAGCCGTAGAGGTTCGTCATTCTTTCTGTCGCCGATGGCCACTTGACGCGATCCGCATAGTAGCGCAATGACGTATTTATTTAGCCATTTTTTCACCGCTCATAAAAAAAATAAACAAATTGGAATTCCTGCGGGTTACTCGTACGCGTTTAACGTCAATTAATCAATCAATGGATTGTGCGACGAATCCTTCGACCGTCCCCTTCCGTAGTATGTATAGTTGTACAATAATAATACCGTAGAGTTTGTTAAACGTAATATTATTATTTTCTTTAAAAAAACCATCTGCGCCCGTTCACCTTCTCTTCGATCCCTCGACACACGCATACTACACGAGACGTCGACGACAACGAGAACCCCTCCCGCCCACCTAAACACAATGTGTGCGTTTAACCGTATGTGAGCGTACGTAATAAATGCATACAAGTAATATACATACATGTATGAGCAGTGAACATGTTGTAGTGGCTGCTGTGGTGGTGGTGATTGGTGAGTGGTGCGGGTTCGGTTTCTGACCGTTTACACGCGGCAGACTCGTTTCCCGAACGATTTCGAATCGGCTCGTTAACCGGGTGAAATAATATATCGACGGACGACTGAGTGCCGGCCGTCCGAAGCAGCAGCACCACAAGGTAGTCGTTCGTCGTGTCTCTGATCGTGTGCGTCGCAGTTGTCGTTGAAGTTCTTGTCTGTCCACGCGAGTGCGTCACGAACGGTCCACAGTTGTTTGTTTGACATAAATTTTTTAATTTTACATAAAATCCATTCGATTCAATGCATTTGTGACTAGTGATCAGAACATGTGTTTGATGTTTTAATAGTTCCCCTGTTGAGTTTTACCGGATTCGAAACGCAAAATAAAACATTTACATACTGTCGTCTCAATCACATGGATAATACATTGTTAATAAGTTAACTTTTATCTACTAGACTTACTGGTAAGTGCCGACTTCTAAGCTTACACTTGATTATGACATCAGACTAGTAAATGTAATTATTATAACCAGTTGGCACGACGTACCGACAACAAATTGTGTACAAATGTTTTCCTAACATTTAAAATTCTAATAAAATATTAATACAGTTAGGTTTTAAACAACTCAACAATTTAACGTTTGATAACGTTCCAATTAACGTTTGTCGTTAAAAATATAGTTAAGGATTCATGATGAAATATCAATTATTCGGAATACATTTGCACTCCCACTCACAAAAAAAAAAAAATACATTCGTTAAAACTTATTTATGAAACAGATATCATGTTTAACAAATATAGGCATATGTCGAGAAGCAAAGTTCACAAAATTCTAGAAAAACTTTAAATATTAAGTACAAGGCGATTGATTATAGATACAATAGAACCTAACAGCTTACACGGAAACGCATAAAAAAAAGCGCGAACATTTTCAACTATACATTTTATAGGTCTATTACTATCAAAACATATCATTAACTCAAAGTATCAAGTATTTTTAATAGATCATTTTTGTTCGATAAAACATAATTATTCTATTACTAATAATAAAAAAAAAGTCTTTCCGAGTTATTTGTTGATTAAACGAGTATAAAATTGTTTTAAAACAAACATACGTTTGAAATGAGGTAATTTAGAAACTATAAAATTAGCTTCTTGACGTACTTTCATCATTAATGTCTGATTTAAGTATAAAAATTTGTCTTGATTCTTTAAAAATCGATTTAAGTGTCATATTTCAACTGGTAAAGTTCAGACCTTTGTTGTGTTCTATGCATTTTTGATTTGTTTACTATGACTCAACCCTTTCCCAAAAAATACTCAGTGGTATTGAAAATTAAATCCACGCCTTTATTGGAATTATTGATGTAGTTCGTGTTTTTTAAACCGGTTTTATTTTGTAACAATTCTCTTCCCTCACAAATCAATAGTACTTATAATGTAGTTGATTTTTTCGTGTGTACAAAGCGATTTAAATAGTAATAACAAACCGACGAAAATCCGAACGTGCTCTTTCTAAATCTAAAGAAAATAAAAATGATTGTTGACGCGGCCGCGTCGAATAAATTGTTTTATTTCAGGTGGTCAATACAATTAACACATAACGTAAGTACCGATGGTACACATGAATATTTGGCTGTGTAATGGAAATAATGCATTTATCTTATTTGATAATCCCACGATTCATTGTTTCTCCTGAATATTATTAATAGGAATTCGTGTTAGTCGGTGAAGCCATCGTAAAAACTTGAAGGCGTTCCATTGCACACAGCCCACCACCACCTGATGATGTATACGAATGTTATTTTTCATAAAACAAATAGTTACAACACTGGTGATATGAAAACGTTTTGTTCTTTTTGTACGCTTGTATATTTAATCTTGTTAAAGTTTCTGTATTGCGTTTAGATAAAAGCATCGTTTTGCGATCTACCCAACAGTTATAAACTCATGAAATTTAAGCGGTAAAAAATTCAATTGATAACTTAGACCAAGTTCATCCTTTACAAGTGTAGCTAAGTTTTGCCAGTTTCCATATAACTTTGCAAAAGTTCACAACTTATTAATTGATTTTAAATGGTTATTCTAACTTAACCGATTAACTAAAAACTACTTTGTTTGCTATCTCATCTACGTTTAGTAAAATTATTAAAACCTTAAGTTTCCCGATAAACTATTTACTGAACAAATGTTCATATTACGACCAACAGGGTTTCGCCTAAACAATTTTAGAAGACAAATATTTTTCACATCACTTAACAATTTGAACAATTTTTTTCTTTTATAACACAATTAGGCTTTACAAATAGCAAATTCTATATCCACTGCAATGAGATTTTTATGCATACATAATGAAAATAAAACGCAACCCAACGATTAATTTCAGCCGACTAATGGTATTTAAACTCAATTGTGATAACTGTTAATGTATAAAAGAATGATTCCCGATTAGGTAGCTGGTATATTACAAAAAAAAAAAAGCAAAATTTAAAACAATACTCGACACAACCAATGGATTACGAGTCATTACTACAACTAGCAATCATCACAGTACCTCCCCCGCATACGATGTAATATTCTATTTTACTGAACCCTTATAAATAATGGGATCTTTTACAACGCACTGCCTACCCGCCATAAACAAACACAAAATTACTTTCAGTAGTGTGTATGTTTTTATGGGCCCTTTGTATTGTACGACCAAAAAACGCTGTCTTTAATAATTATTATATTATTTTTATCAGCGGGTAACGAAAAATAATAATAATAATAATAAAATAACCAATTTACTCGCGTCAGCAGTCCGCATAATACGTATACTGTTCTGTATATTTCCAAGGAAAAATACAAAACTAATTTTTACTAAAACATGTTATCATGAATAGTTCATAGTTTATCATATTTCACTGTTAGATGTCAGTAAATAAGTTAAACTCGTTTAAGTAACTGATTCTAGGACATCCTACTTCAAATACAAGCGATAGCTTCCAAAGTATATTAAATGAACAAAAGAGTCTGATATTCGGTCCGGAAAATTGTAATATCCGAAACCCGTCAGTTTGTTGTTTAATTGTCGAATGACATATCGTTAGGGTTTGTCAAAGCACCGACTTGTCAATCTTCACTTCCTGTTTACGATTCGGATTACAACCCTTTTTAAACTACACAACCATATTATAAATATCTCTTTTACGATAATTGTGCCGTTTTAGCGAGCCCTCTCTTAATATAATAATATTACAATACCTAAGTGTTAACTGCATTTTATTATAAAAACATATTTCCTGTACTTACGCAAGAACTGAAAAACGTTTTATTGCTCCGATAATTTGATCGATAGAAAAAGGCCGTGACCCTTTCTTAAAATTGATGTTAAGTATAAATTAAATCTAAAATCGTTAATTCGATAAAATTATTTGTCATGTTTTTTTACGATTATTTATCTGTATAAAATCAACATTCATTATCTTGTGTTTGACCACAATATTATGTTTTTTACTTCCGTTGCAATATAAAACTCAATATCGTCGGCTAGCATTGAATTTAATACAACAGATATCGACTAATATTTGGTATTTTCACTTGGAAACTATAAACGATAAAATTCTACGATCCCATTCAATGCACTTTTAAACGTCCGCGGTTCTAAGCTATTGTGTTTAGAGGTTTCCGTTTATTCGTTTGGCGCCTTGGGGTTTGAGTCTATTTTACTTACAAACAATACGATGGTAATTATAGCACGTGTAATATCAATATACTGTAATGTTTTGTCGTTAGTGCAAAACCTCTAGAGATTTGATGCGGACCCCGACAGTTTATCTTTACGGGCACATCAAAGCATGATAAAATAAAAATGAATAAAATATTTAAAAAAAACAATTATTATTTTAAGGCGGATAAAGTTCTTTTTCGTACGTATCGTTATGAAATAAGCGCATAACGATCACCGGTTAAGTAAAACAACGAAATCTTTTGTTATACATTTTCGGCAACTGGTGTTCACAGAGCTACGTTTAATTGTGTGAACACTGAACTTAAAAACTAACGGCGACTGCAGGATAATTATGCATTTATTTTATCTGGCAGCTTGTTAAAACATCGGCCGATTGTACTCTTAGTTGCGCGTATGACAATTGACAAATACATACTAATAATTCAAACACAATCACTGGTGTTTAAACGAAAAACTAGTATACATGCCAATCCTTAAAAACGTGACAGGTAGAGAAACTTGTTGTTTAAGAATAATACGGAGAAAGAATTAGTGGAGGAGAGAAAACGTTTTACAAATGATTCCTAGACAGCTGTCACCTCGGTATGACGAAGGTACGCCGCGCCGAGCATTCCGTGTGCGCCCTTACAATCCTCCGGGAAAGAGGGGGTTCCATTTTATTATATTATGTTGTTATTAAATTCGTCTTCACCGTCCGTCCATTTAGGAAAAATAAAGGAAATACCACGAGAAACTTGTCTGACTTACAATCTAGAATTTTTTAGACGCCAATATCTCCAACTTAATAGTTTAAAAACCATTTGGGGACAACCATGAATATATAAAATGAAACCACTATACATCCAACATGATTAATGGCTATTGTGTAATAGTGTTTTTTTCATTCATTCGTCCCCTTGACAGCTATAATCGTTAGTTGTTATGACGTTTTATATCACTTAACCTTGTCTATCAGTATCACCGTATGGGATCCCGTATGTTCTCTTCTACCAAAAAATTTACCAACGCAATCCTAACATGGATAACCAACAAAGGTGTATAAACACCTTAGTAAGTATTTATTGACTTGGTTCATTTTTAGACAACTATGATTTTAAAAGCATTATGATATTAATCAATTATTTTTGAACTGCCTCAGAGTTATTCTCAACTCTTTGCTAATTATCAGCAAGTTAACATTTTTTATACGATTGTATATCACGAATAATGTAATGAAAAGGGGCCGCACCAGTTGCATATGTTTGAAAGAAGAAAATATTTAGATTTAATACAAAAAATGTTGCTGTAGGAACCAAATGTCCTGTTGAGCGCCCGTGCAGTGAGTGTATAGTTCAGGTGTGTCCGAGTTAATATATCTCTCTAAGCCCTGCGCATAAAATTCCTCCGAAGGATAACATGAAGCCCCCGAAGGATTCAGTTGAGGCCACCCGTTGAGCCGGACGACCTATGCAACAACCCTCGCGATTAATTTATTAGACCAACAGCTAAGAGACCCAGGGAACCGGTTCTCGAATATAGTAAACACTGCAATACAAACCGTGTCTTCTGAGTAGACTCGGGACAAGTAATATCTTTTGCGTCCGACTTGCATTATACCACCGTGACCTCCTGCTAGGTTAATGTCGTACAAAAAAAGACGTCAAAACAGAAAATAGTAATAACTTCAGAGTCACATTGGGTGTAGTATAAAAGATTCAAGAAAAAAGAATTATAATAAAATAGTGACACCAGCCAGTGATTCTGATAACTGGAAACTGCCGTGACCTCACGCAACAGTAAACAATAACATCGTGCATCAGATATTAATCGATAAAAAAAAAAAATTGCACGCTGATATAATATTTTCCGTACTTTACCAGGGTGCATAGTTTTGTTGTGATGCTTGTAAAAGATACAACCGATCGTGTGTCGCCACTGCCTTGTAGCAACCAGAAAAGGTAACAATATTCCGTAATTAAATACATTTAAACTGTATATGTGCATTCATATGTATAAACCAACAATCGAGAACGCATAAATTGCTATCAGAAAACAATATGATATTAGGTAACGCGTATAGATAATTAAAACACATCTATTATTTATTGACACATATTATGTTCAATCGATTTACTAATACCGAGTTGAAAGCGTTACATTTTGCGAGCCCTTAAAGATGTAACAATGATCATTTGTTTAGTCATAATTGTCACTATTTACTAAGTGGCCTGAAAAATGTTTGGTATTTTACTATAGACATCTAGTAGTGTTTATGTGAATATAATACGTATGCACTTCTACTAGCACACACCCGAAATGTATCATTATTACTGTACTCAAACGCTTTGAATAATGGAACTCACACGATCGCTTTAGTAATTACACTTGTGCATATACATGTATTTGTACACGATAATTTATTTTAAATAATTACACAGCGCCTTGAGTTTGTGATGTCTAAACTACAATAATGATCGACATTCCTATTATTTCAATCATGAAAATCAACATACCTGCAATGACTGGTCGCAACTTCATAGTGCCTTATTCGAAGTTATCGAGATCTGGAAAATTTTTATGTAGTTTTGTATTTTAATTCTAGTGTATAATTGTTGACTAACTCGTGCTTACTATGAGCTATTTAAAAATGTAGTTGTCCATTCTGACGCAGTTCTATCGTAAACTAGGTATTCTTGACTTCGATATTTAATCTCGTTTTTAATGTGAACTCTACATGTTGGTAACTTGTACAGTTGTAGTTCGGCATTCATGAGCTATTATACGTTTTAGAAAGAGAAAACTGGTGTTCGTTTGTGTATGACTTCAGGATATTGTCGTATGAATTCTCTACAGCATTATCTACCGGTAGTCTTCTGCTACTGGTTTTTACTGCTCTGAGACGTTCGATATTGTATTTGAATGCAACAAACGGAAAGTACAAATGATACAAAAGAATAAAACCACCCAGATTCCTTAAGCATGTTTGCATAAAATATTATTTCCATGAATGAAATCTGCGAACAACTAGATGGTTCGAAATTCATGAATATTTTACCATAAAGGGCAATGACGTATGCTTTAACAATGAGAAAATTGAATGAAAAACAAGACTGGTTTCCTATGGAACATGACAGATTTAAATGTTATTCTAAATCTTTGTCTCCTGTACGGCAAAATATGTATACTCGCAAATAATCAATTGCCTCATAAAGTGATCTTACCAAAGCTTTAGTAAAATAAATTCAAATACCAAGTATATCAACAGCAAATATTCTTGTAATAATCATTTAATACTATCAATACGTGAATATAATGTTTAATTTTTTGATCTTAAATATTTCTAGTTATCGATCCATCAAATTATTTGTTTTTTATGTTGTTAAAAAATTTCTTCAAGCAATAAGCATGTTATAGTAGATTTTCAGTTAGGTATTGCCAATGATGTATAAATGAAGCTTATTGAAATCTGAACATTCTACTCACTTATTAATGAAGCTATTTTCTAACGAATTGCCTGTTATCGTTTTTATATATCTGTGACTTGTCGTTTAATTATACATTCAACTAAATTTCAATAAATACAATTAGCTAAAATAGCTATTGTGTATCTTACATTTATACCAATTAAGTAGTCTTTGGACTAACATAGAATTTGAATAGTTATAAGTGATAAGATAACATCAGTAAAATTGTCGATCAGAATACAAAGAATTTGTTGATGTATTATTCAAATTGAGAAGCGAGTCTCTTAGCTCTAGTGATGTATGTAACACGTTATGTAGTGGTGGAGGAGTCGGTTCGCAGCGGGTGGAAGACGTGAGATATGTATGGAACGATAACCCCCACGCGAGCACGTCGGACAAGTCGATTTATTGGAAAAGAAATAATAATAAAAATAAAAATACCCGGAGATTGTCTCGTATAGATAAAATGGAAACGGTCCAGGACGCAGTCTGTACTCGACAGGGTGAAAAGAACGACGCTACCTAGAATACTATGGTGTCGTGTTATCGATAACTATACACTTTTTTAGAGTGAAACATTTTTGTCCACATATATCCCTGTCCTTGTAATAGAGAAAATAAAGACGAGCGCCTAACAAGCTTAGTAGATAACCTAGTCGACATGATTTCGCTTGCATCCAAGGGATAATGAAAGAGTTAAAAATTATTATTATTATGTTATTTAATGTATTTTGTACCGTGCGTTTTCATTTTCCTTGGTCATTGTATGTGTAAGTGAGTTTTGTGGTCGTTATACTCACGTCAACATCGACCATTCGATTTGTCACGCGAACTACATAGTCTTAAGTATAAAAGATACATACACATGTGTGATAGAGTTGAATGCACTCCTTGGGACTTATATACAATTTTGAACGTGTGTGTACAATTTTCACATTGAAAAATCAATTCGTTTTGGGTACCTACGTGTTGACCACGCGTTAAATATTGCTTACTATTGTTATTTTTATACTTGAGTGGTGTAATACACAGTATTTGATAGACATGGATTTATATCGATTATTGAACAGTGGTCAATTGTAATAATTGGCTAAAACATTTGATATTATTATTATGATAATACAGTTTCTACATACTTTGTTGTAATAATTCATACAGAATGATAAATACTGTGATTCAATATACAGCATTGTGGTAATTTGTATGGTTATAGTTCAATAGAAAATGGAAGTTTGAAAAAATTTGAATCCAATCTACTACTGAAGTTGAACTCAAATAGTCATTTGTAGTATTTTAAAGTGTTGTGTATTTTACTGTGACAGCTTTATGAAGCGTCAATATTGTTCAACATCATGAAGTGTCATCTGCTCGATGATTACTCAAATCGATCAAAATCAGTGAGTGTAAATGGAATCACCAAGTAACTGAATAGGGATTTTTGTTTGCTCATCACGTTAACTGTACGGCCAAACTTATTTTCACTTACAGCGTACTTCATACCCGGGTCGCAATTTGGATTCGTTGTTGAAATTCTATAATGTAGTGAGGGGTTGACAAACACCCTACCAACAACTAAGTTTGTTTGCTTGCTTCTGACAATGATTCGTCAGTATTCAATTTGGACCGCCTATGTGCAATTACAAGTCCTTTCAAGTTTTTTCGTTTCTCCTCTCCGTCGTTTTTGACGCAATCTCAAACAAATACATATATGCATTAGGTGGGAATTCAATTTCACATCAATCCCTCCGTCGCATTTCTAATAGCAATCAACACTCAGCCACCGATAAATAGCGTTTATCAAAAAAGTTAGGTCATGACGCATACTATTCGTAGCTGTTTGTCAAAAGCCTGTGGTAATTTATCTGCTCTGTTTCCCATATACATGTTAAAATATTAAGTTAAAAATACTGAGTTTTTGACAGAATAAAAATAAATNTGCCAAAAGGTAATTTATCTGCTCTGTTTCCCATATACATGTTAAAATATTAAGTTAAAAATACTGAGTTTTTGACAGAATAAAAATAAATACATCTGTTTTCAATATTACCTTTTTTTGCGAGCGTATTTTGACATTTCTGACCTATTCGATACTTTATACGTTCTTTGACAAAATGTTGAACATGTGTGTTTGTTTGGATTCTTGCGATAACTCTAAGAACTGAATATGTATAAACAAAATAAAATAAATTTCAATATAAAATTAAAAATTTAATAAACTCACAGATTAGTTAAATATTAATCATATTATTTATTATAATTTACAAAAAATTAACTATACTACTTACAGGTATATTCATTTAATAGTTTAAAGTTATTTAATTGTTTATAATCAAACATCTATATAATTATTTATTGAATTTAATTAATTACTTAAGATTGTTTTTAATTTAGTTTTTTTTTTGTTTCAGGTGTTATTACGATGTCTTGGAAGTCAAAATCCTTACATTTTCATTACTTCGTTCAATATTAATTATATTATTGAAAATAATTGTAAAATAATCTCATTATGACGACTCTAATAACATTTGTATTGTTATGCATGGCATCCAGTCATGTTTATGGCAATATGCAACCGATAGCAGTTACCAACGCAGCATCCATTCCAGGAGGACGTTGTGAAGAAATTACAATACCTATGTGCCGAGGCATTGGTTACAATATGACAGCTATGCCAAACTCATTAAATCATGAATCTCAGGAGGAAGCTGGTATGGAAGTGCATCAGTTTTGGCCACTTGTAGAAATAAATTGTTCGGCTGATTTAAAATTTTTCTTATGCTCTGTTTACACGCCAATATGTATTGAAGATTATCAAAAACCACTGCAAGCATGTCGAAGTGTTTGTGAACGAGCAAGAGATGGCTGTTTGCCACTAATGCAAAGTTATGGATTTGTATGGCCCGAAAAAATGCAGTGTGATAAATTACCTGTACACGGTGGTCCAGAACTATGTATGGCTCAAGACGTGTATGAGCAGCAAGGTCCAACAAAACCTACCAAAAAACCAGCAGGAAAATGTAAATCTGGCAGTAAAGCAAAAGGATGTGAAAAATATATGTTCGATGACGATTGCGAGTGTAGGTGTAGACCACCATTAGTGCCCGTTGAAAAAGACTCCCTGCGAAATAATAGAACTGGTATTTCTGTCGTTGGTATTGATAACTGTGCTATGCCATGTAAAGGAGTATTATTTACTGAAGATGAAAAGGAATTTGCATCATCTTGGATTTTCTTGTGGTCTAGTATATGTTGTGTGACTACTCTTATGACTTTAACTACGTACACAATTGATCCACAAAGATTCAAGTATCCAGAAAAGCCAATCGTTTTTTTGTCTGGTTGTTATCTAATGGTCAGTTTAGGATTTTTGATTCGTGTGTATGTAGGCCATGAAGCAGTAGCGTGTGAACCAAACGGTTCTATCAAATATAATGCATCTGGACCAACACCGTGTACATTAGTATTCCTTCTTTTATACTTTTTTGGCATGGCTTCTTCAATTTGGTGGGTCATCTTGGCATTCACATGGTTCCTAGCGGCTGGTCTAAAGTGGGGCAACGAAGCGATCGCGTCTTACTCACAATACTTCCATTTAGCTGCTTGGTTGATCCCCACAGTCAAATCACTAGGTGTGTTAGTCATGTCAGCAGTTGATGGAGATACATTCGCAGGAGTATGCTATGTGGGCAATCAAAATACTGATAACCTAAAAATGTTTGTATTGGCTCCACTTATAGTTTATTTGGCATTGGGAGTATCTTTTCTTTTGGGTGGCTTTGTTTCACTATTCCGCATTCGAAATGTAATCAAACAACAAGTCGGTCGTAGTAAAGCAGACAAGTTGGAAAAACTAATGATTCGTATTGGAGTGTTCAGCGTCTTATACACTGTACCGGCATCTGTAGTAATTGGTTGCTACTACTATGAGGCCAGATACATGTCAGATCGAATTGCTCACTTCGCTTGTCCATGTGCTGACTCCGATCCAGATACTAAACCAGTGTATACTATGCTGATGCTCAAATATTTTATGACATTAGTGATGGGTGTCACGTCTGGAGTATGGATATGGTCAGGTAAAACGGTGGGTTCGTGGAAAAGACTCTCGAGACGACTATTTGGTGGCGGAAGTGGCCGATCAAATAAAGGTGGGCCAAATCCAGTTCTAATAAATCCAGGCAAGCAAAGGAAACAAATGCAGTATATGCCAGCACCGTCCATCCCGGGTAGCACATTGCCTTCATCTCATCATTTGGCGCCATCTTCCAGTTTACACCACCATATTATTAAACAGGCGCCCCTTAGCCATGTATGACATCAGTACGCTACTCCTGCCTTGAGCTACGAGCAACCAGACCCGTCCGAGGACATGAGACCCTCTACTGCTGGGCTCAGTGATTACGGACCTCTTTAAACGGGTTAGGCAGGATGGCTTATAGAAACAATTGATTGATCTCTACGTATTCGTCATACAATTTTCAATACTAAACTGGTAGGATGACTATATGTTATATTAAAAATCTAATATATTGAACAGTCTTGACAGTTTTAATATCTGTCAACAAACATTAATTTTGCATTTATAATTGTACACAAAAAATTTAAAATACCAATCACATAAACTGTTCTTTTTTTAGTTCAACAAATAATATTAAAGGAACACATAGCGTTACGTTCGTTGGATTATTAGGTTTTTTTCTGGTGCTTTCCCCAAAAAAATAATTATTATTGTAAATAAAATTAGATATAAGACGCGTATACTAGTCATAGCAATTAAGTTATGAATGTTTTTGTTATGTTAGCATGAAGAGACTCTTTAATTTAAAAGTAAAACAGAAATACAAATATACTTTTGATTGTTGGAAAATGATTTTCATTTTTATAATAACACTTTTTTTATTGTAAACATATTAATTAAAAATTTTTAATAAGCAATTGTGCAATAACTATATCAATTTTATTACAAAAAGCCAATTTGTCTTATTAACTTATCATTATATTTTATTTTAGGACTTTTAGTCCTAACACTGCCTGAAAATACTGTATACGTAACCATTAAGTGATAATAACAATATATTTGTACATTTTTTATGTGTATTATTTCTGTATAAATTAATTATACTATTTATTAAATTGTAATATATATTTATTATATTAATATGACAGCGTAGAAAATAAATTGTACATGAAAATGGTTCAAAATAATAAAACTGTACATGTAATGTTTTCTTAAATAATGTTTGGATTATTTTCATTTTCCCAACGAAATGAGTTCTTAATAAATAAAGTTATTTTTAATTTAAATTAATAGGCTCTAGAGACTCTTTTTTTTAATTGCACTTTTTTATGAAACTTATCAACGCAAAAAAAAGTAATCAGAATATTTAAATTAAAGTTAGTTATATTTTTTTTTTTTTGGTAATTATTTATATTTTATTTAAAAATCTCATGTTTATTTAATACCACAAAGAAGTCAGATGAATTTTAATAGCAGTAATTTATAAATGGCACAGTAAGACACTAATTAGAAATTATTTATTTTTTCATATAGTTCAAAAAAAAGAAATGAATCATTGGAGAATTTTTTTCCGCGTAGGATCACATGAAATATTCAATTATAGTTCCTTTTTTCTGTCGTAGAAAAAAAAGTAAAACTGTATACAGTGTAAAAAGTAAATATATGAACTAAATTGAAAATTATTATAGTGAAAAGTTTGTTCTTGAGACCTTGCCCACTGCAAATCAAGTGTCATTAATATCTAAGTGACTAAAGTTACTTTCCTAGCAACATAATGATATTTTTCTATAATGTTTAAGCTGGTAAGAATAAATCGAACCCTAAGTTTAAAAATTCATTCGCAAAAGTAAACCACACTAACTAAATATTATGATATAAAAACACTCGTCTATCGCCAGCAGGTGCCTTTCAGTCATGGGGCTAAGTTTGTTTCAAAATAATAACTGATAGTTTGAAAATTCGATGGAAACTTTTTACGCTATTATTTATGCATATCACTTTTTTACAATAATTCACAAAATGTATATTAAAGTAATTTTTGTTTTTAACTTCTGAATATTTTATTAAAAAATAGAACACAATAAACATTGTGTTAACATAACATTACCCATGTAAAGATACAAGTATTCAAAAAAATAAATAAATTGATAGTAACGAATTTTATTCATTTATTAGAAACTAAATACTTCAATATTAGTATTTTCGTATTTTTAGCATTGATATATGCTTAGAGTAAAAAAAAAAAACGCTAAAAAATAATACACTGTTCAATGTTTCTAGTCCTATCGTACTTAAAATGATTATACAAAACAACAACTATAGTACTTGTTTCTATTTAACCTGAATGAAACCATATTTTCTTACTAACACTAAAATAACAAGAGATACTATAGAATTTAAAAAAATAACCATACCTAATGTGTATAAAATTATTAAAAGCATCTTCAATATTTCAAATAGATCACATTTTCAATTAATTTATTGTGTTTTTAATATGTTAAAAAAATTTTTAAAATACATAATCAGCTAACTTATTGTCATTTGGAAATTACATAAGTACTTACAATTTATTTTTATGTTTTATGTTCATTTTTATAATTCGCTCTGATTTATTTTGTAGATTAATCAAATCGAACATTTTTAAATTATAGTCAATATAATTTTGTTAACCATTGCTAAAATTTTAATAATAAATAAATACTGTATACTAATTCAATAATCTACAAATTAAATTGATTTTATAGTAAACTATCCACCAAAAATAGTATCCATTTAAGTTTATTAATCTGGTTAGTTATAGAAATATAAACTTATTGGATTTACGTTACATCTTGGCACGAATAATAAATCTAGACTAACTTTCTGAAATTAAATGGTTGCGGCATTTTAGTTGTGTTCGCTCCAATGTTAAATGTAGTATGGTTAGGTTTAAAAATGTTTTTAATTAAGCGTATCCCACAGTATCTTCAACGCGTTTGTTTTTTATGTACACAGTAAAAATTAAAGGAAGAACGTTGTAGATATTAATAATTATTAAATGAATAAGATAAACTCTTTGCGTGCGGTCTCGGCCGCGAACAATATTATCGTAAGCTCGAGTCATGACTCAGAGGTCGTTAGACTTTTATAATAATGCACATACTCATCTATGTAAATAAATAAACTATTGATACCTCATAACAATTATAATGATAATAATATGATGGGCCGTCGTTACGAAGAGAAAAAAGATACGAATCGACGTAGCGGCCCCCGGGCGTGTTTGTTTAGATAAAAATGTATAAAAAAACAGAAAAGGTGGTGGGCCGGAGGGTATAGGGTTAAAAAGAAGAAGAATAAGACGCGAGAGTATGATAAAAATATATAAAAAACAACCATTTAATAACAACGTGTTAGTCGCTGTAGTGGTAATCGGAAAACAAACACGATGGGCGTCGCGCCTTGTCGGTGTCCATCGTGAGCCCCCAGCGCAGCAGCCGTCTTTCCTCTCCTCCACACCCCCCACCATAACATAACGTGCTCTTCCTAGACGGATCAAGAGAGTCTTTAATTAAATTTGACCGGTTTATTTCCCTACGGTCGTAACGGCTGGACACGGGGTAATAACTCAAAGACTCGTTAGCAACACGAGAACAAGACCTTGAATAGATTGGTGTGTACATATTATACATATATTATTGTTATTATAATATTTTATAAACCATCAAAAGGAGAAGGAAAAAAGTGAGAAAACTGCACCTATCTACCGGTTTAATATTTCAACGATTATATATTGAAAACTGTCTTCAATCAATATAAACCATAATTCAATCAGCGAAACTATATTGTAAGACCACATTCCTCTGTTGCTTTTTTAAAATCTACTAACGAAGAAATAAACCGTAAACTGTACGTTTGAAGTAGAGATGTCCAAATAAAATATGTAAACATCGAATATACCAGTTTTTTATTTAACAGATAGCTATAGTCAGTGTATAATTTAGTGTTTAATTTAATTAAAACTTCTGCAGTCTTTAATTTTACATGTTATAGGTTAAGATAATTAGTAAATTGTATACAATTTGCAAATGTATCATTAATTCATTTTTACTTTAGGATAAAACATTGCAATGATAAAAATGTGAACATTCAAGTTGAATTAAGAAATTAAATTAACATTTTATTAAAATACTAAATATTAACACTTGTATAAAATGTAAAATTAGTTTAGCGTTAAACATTATCTATATTTCAAATGATAATTAACCCAAGATAACTTAAACAAATAGTAATAGCAAATAGGCCATCTCTTCAAATTAAATACTGAAACATTAAGTATTTTGATAGCAAAAATGTTTATAATTGGTCTACAGATAAAACGACCAAACTTTGATGATACTTATTGGACTTACGATTTAATAAATATTTGATTAAAAAACACGCTACTAAAAAAATTGTAAACGTAAAAATGAATCGAAAAAATAAATGATTAACTTATTAAAATAATTCATTGCATATTCAATCATTTTTATAGATTAAAACTGCAGTTCTAGTCTATAACAGCTGAAAATTTTGCAGTATCGTTAAACTAATAGGAAATAACGTCATTACAAAGAGCAAACGATTAAATTATCCTTTAATTGTACTTTTTATATATTAATACATCAAATTAATTAAAACCTTGAATTAAATGATGTTTTACAATAGGCAACTACTCCTCATTGTAATATTTAACAACCTAATACTATTGAGTAATGCTGATTTGCACTATTTCTTCTATAAAAAAAAATATTAAGTACTTTTAAGTATTAATTACTCGTTGTAGTAGAGTTTCTCTTTAAGATCCGAGGGTATCAATTTTATGCAGAATTTATTTAACAGAAACCTAACGTGAATTTGAACTTGATAGGCTTCTTTAAGGTGTGAAATGTAAATTGATACTTATGCTTTTAAGCAACATTCCAGATATTATCTTTTGGGAAAAATATCTTATTTCCTAATTTTACATTTTTGCAAAATTATAAACCATGATAGTGTACACACTTTAAAATAATAAGATTAATTGTGTTTTTAAGTAGATGTATGAATTATTAAACATTTAAAATATCATGTTTTCGTAATATCAACTCTTAACTAAAAATGTTATTTCAAAAGTTTCATTGGGTCTAGTAGTAAAACCATAACCAATGACATATCTTAGTCATGTAATTAGGGTAAGGATTTAGTGATTATAAGACATACCGCAAACAAGATTTAAATACTATTTCATGTATACAATTATCTTATTATGTATTATAGAGGGTGTTCAGTAAATAGGGAACTAGTCAATTGTTACAAACAATCAGAACAATAGAAACGCGTTTCCTTATTTATTGAACACTCTACATGGTCTTGATAAATAATTCAAGGGTTTTAATTATTATTACGACTTATCTCCCATATACAAATTGTCACCGTAGTTAAAAAACATGCTAATTTTGAATTAAAATTTTCAATTTTATATTTTGAACTATACATAACTATATCTATTTTAAAAATGTATGGAATAATACAACGTTTTTTTTTTTTTTTTGAAGCACTTAATATATTTTTATCCGGCATACATATTTTAAATACTAAAAATTTACTTTAATACAGAAAGGATTCAAATCTTGATGCATGCGTTTAAAAAGTAGAACTTTTTCAACTTAACTTTTGTAAATATTCCAGAAATCCTGACACCTTTATATATATTTTTAATTAAAGCTTATGTATTATACTTAGTTTTGAAAAATAAAAAATTTGACCTCTGATCTTGTCTTTGTAGTGAAAACGGACAACAAAATTATAGATTATAATAGAAAATTTTGGATTATAGTACAATTTTTGTGAAAAATTCGCAAATTCTAGAAAAATTTAATAAATTGTTGTACAAACACTTATCTAAAGTATTTTTAAGAAATTAGTGTATATTCCTTTGGCGCTTTTAGGAAGGGTCAATGAAATATTCTCCTCAAAAATATTTATTATAAAAATACTTTTTTTTTGGTATTTTGCACGTTATTCTAGAGTCATAAATAAAGGGTTTTAGGAGACCACAATATCCACCAAAAAAATTTAATTTGCGCAATTTTTTTACTTAAATTGTTACACCGTTTTTTCATTTAAATGTATGCGTTTTTTATTTTAAAATACCTTATCAAAAAAAGTGCATTTCAAATCTACCCTAACATATTTTTAAAACTACCAATCCTAATAATATTTAGATACAATATTTTTTCTTTGGGTATATTTTTTTATGAGTAAATAGTCATTTTTCAGTTACTAGTAATTATCTCAAGAATTAGAGATAATAAAAATATTTAATTTCAGTTTTGAAATTAGTATAAGAATTTGGTTTAGCAAAGTATAATTTTACTTCTGCTGAAAATTCTTTGTAGTTTTAGTTTTCAGTGATGTGGATATAGTGCCCATGCACTCAGTCCTGTTGGTCCATTGTAAACTAGTATATTTATTTAAAAATAACAAAAATTTATTTTCTAAAAGTTGGACTAATCTGGTTTTTACTCACTTTTTATACACGTTTGGCATAGAGAAAACAAAATATACAGCTACATTATACTTTTTATAATTCTCTGTAAAAATAACAATATTAAAATGGAAAATGAATCAAGAAAATTACTTGTTGATACATGGATATATTTATAATTAACGAAAATCAAATGAAAATTCGTAGAAAAATTATTATTTTAAGAAAAATTGAGCACCTGGCAATATTAGAACCACTCTATAGTCATAAAGGGGTGTTAAGTACCTCCTAGTAAACCTTTTTTTTTTACAAAAAAAAATAATAATAAATAAAAGTAATGTGTTAATTCTACATATTTTTAGGATGATTTTAGCAGCTTTTAATACCCATCTAATTTGTATATTAAAGGAGGGAAAGGCTTTTCTTAAAAAGTGTTCTAACTACAAATGGCTTATGATAAATTACAATTTCAATTTAATAACTGTAATTATAATTAACTAACAATGGTCAGAATAATTAAACTTCGTTTTTATCATTTTTTCTAATAGGACAATAATAATCTAATAGATAAAACTAATAGGACTTTTAATCCGAAAATCATAAAATTAAAAGTGTTATCATATTAACACATAGTAATCAAAGTCTCTGTTATAAGAAAATACGTATACGTCAATTATAATGCCCCGAGGAAAACCCCTTAAACTTCTGGAACATCATGTGTGGTCCGTTGTTCCTTTAGTGACTACCATTTGCATTTAACTAAATTAATGCACCAAGAAGAGTACAAAATGAACTATATATCAATAATTATAAACTCCGAATTCCGTTTTGTGTACACACGCGACTAATAAACTGGGTTGATTTGTTTACCGAACGTTTACAGGAGTTATAAAAATAATATTATGCCTAGTCAGTATACTACAATCACTTATAGTATGTACACAAATTAAACAAATGTTCACGCTATTTAAGTAGTGTTCAATTTTTAAACATTACTTATACGATATATGTTTGTTATTCGAGCATTTTATAATAAATTATAAATTAATCAAATTTAGAAAAAAATATTATTTTTAATTGTTTCTAATTTTCAAAATAACTTTCCATAAAAAATCCTGTTAGCCAAAGTCAACTACATAAATTAATTACTTCACTAATTGCAATATTTCGCACATTCAAATATTATATATTTCTTGATGCTTTTGTTTCGATGTAAATGTATGATTATTTTTTATGAACAGGCATTATTTCAACAGATAAAGATCACCAAATACTTAATTAACTTTTTTTTAATTACAACTTATTAAGTTGTCAAATATCTACTTAAAAATTTATTACAACGATAATTATAAAATAAATATATTTTATCTATTCATAATTAAATTAATTACCTATTTTAAATTGTTTTAATTTTTGTTAGACCCCTAGATTACTAAAATTTAAAGTAAAATAAAATAAAAAGTAAATTTTGTAATATCAATTAAAATTTAAATAGATAATTTAAAATTTATAGTAAATACGTTTTTATAAATAAAAGCAACGCAGAATGAAAAATAGTAAATCATATTTAAAGATAACCCGAATACAAAATATTAACGCAACTTAATATGCCTTCATGTCAAATATTTTATATACAACTAATAGTTTTTTGTAATATACATACCTATGGAATATATCCAAAATTTTACATAAAATCAACAATTTACAGTGCAAATATTAAACTTTTCAGTCAAAATTTAAATTATTTTGTTTGAAAAAAATGTTAACTAAATTTCATCGGAAGTGTTTGATTGAATTACATTAACAATTATTGAAAATTTAAATTTATTTTTGGTCACCTAAAAATTTCTACTTATAAACATAAATAACCACAAATAGTATTTTAAAAGTATTTCCAAGAACAAAATGGACGTTAAATAAATCAAAATCTAATTCTTTAACATAATTTAAGTAATTGAAATTTTTTATTACATATCATTAACAGTTAGACGTTTTTCAATCATACAATTAATACTTAATTTTGTTATGTTAAAAATAAAAAACGATAAAAAAACATTTTATTTGTTGTGTTATTTAAAAACTTATAAAAAATTATCAAATATCGCTTAATTTTAAACGAATTGATTGGTAATATTGTAAAATAAATTATTTATTTTTAAATTTTCCAAAAAATGTATTTTAAATAACATTTAAAACCTTCTGGAATTTTTTATTTGAAACGGTAACATAGTATATGTTTTCAAATGAATATTATTATGTAAGTCATTTTTTAAAGAGGCAATCAATTCTTTATGATTTATTGACTTTTTAATATTTGATTAATCCAATATTAAATAAAAAAATATCTTTTTACCACACTGGGGAAACTTGTTGGGTAAGTTAACCCCTTTATATCTTTTTCATTACGTACTTAAATATTATATAAATATATATTTTTTAATGAAGAGAATTGATAATTGAAAAAGGAAAATAATCGCTTTATACTTTATAAGGATCATAAATTTCACCTTAAGATAAAATAAATTATAAGCTTTGGATAAGAAAATTTGTATATCATACACAAAGTTACGATACGTTTTAAAAAAAATTAGTATTCAGTCTATTATTATTGAACCATGATGAATATCATCTAAAAATAGTTTACATGTTATGTTCAGTCATTTGAATACAATTTTTATTAATATTAGCTGTTCTTAAATTAAACTGTAATCTTTTTCACATTTTAATTAATGTTATTATCTGTACTATTTAAGTTTACTTTATTTGATGTTTTGACAAAATATTTCCCAAAAATGACTATTTAAATTAATATTTACCTTATTTTTTTTTTCTGTGTTAGCTACCTAAATTAAGGATCTCGTTAAAAAAAAAAAAGTTATTTATAAATTAAGCTTATAAAAATGTTCTTACTGGTTCATTATAATATAATTTATAAAATATTTATTGCTCATTTCAAATGATGATCATTAAAAATAAATAATTTAAACTGTCAATTTTGTGAAAAAATTTTTTAATTTGAATATTCCAGGTGACTTAAGGCTTGATACTTGTACTAAATACACCTGCATTATTTTGTACACTTTTTTCATGTTATACATGTTGTATTGCCCTGTGTTAAGACAAATGACGACATTAAAACAGTTGCCAAAAAAAAAGTAAAATAAAAAAATGTTTAATAAAAATTCTCACTGCCAGCTAGTGGGATTGTACTAGACGAAGAGTTTTGTGAAAACTGTAAGTCCGAACGAACGCGTCAACCGAGTGTCATGTGATGTGCTTTCGGTAGTGAATAATACTTTTTTTAAGGGGGCTCGATGGATCTTAGATGGATTTTAATTCTCACACTTCTCGCAATTGGAGGTAATAATTTTAATGATTTACCATACATAGTACAAATATTTATAACTAAAAGTAAGAGTATGATTGCGGTATAACGTTTTTACTTACAAACAAACAACATAAATCTAAGTGAAATGTTTTATCAAATTGTAGATACAAAATTTAATCCGCAAATGAACGATTATAGTGAAAAACATCTTACAGAATAATTTTATTAATGTAATAAAAAAAACTAACAGCATATTGAATAGCGTTAAAACTTCCAAACATCTAACAATTATATATTATTACAATACCACCAAATTTAACATTAATAAAAGTAATAGTTTAAAATTTAAACAATATAATCAAGTACTGTAAAGTAAATTATTTTACATGGACATTAATAAAAATATAAATAAAAGTCATTTTTTTTAATTGTCTCAAGTATAAAATAAGCAATTTTTCATAAAACATTAGTTTAGAACTCAAATGTCTCTTTTATAAAATAATTTGGTACAGTAGGTTTTTTTAATAAAATTTGTTATTTTAAAAAATGACTTGAAGGTCATAAAGAAAAAGAAATTAGTAGATATTTTAAATGTCTTGGTAAGTATATATTTTCCAAAGGTTATACCGTTGTAATATTTATCATTTAAACTATTAATTGTTTATTTGTTAAATCATATTTCTATTATTTTACAATAAAAATAATTTTTATAATATTAAAAAACTTTTACCGGCAGTTTTACCGCCTGCGACAATTCTATTTTGGTAGGGGCATTAGGCTATATTGTATATTAATAGTATACCGACATAACACAAGTGGGACACTCTGGTTGCAATTATCTATTTTTATAGCATTAGCAGCCGTCTGGGATTTTAAATACTTTCATGTTTTTTTTACAATTCATAATTATTAAAAAGTTAAATTATTTAGGTTTTTTTTTTTTTAATATAAATAACTGTAGCAACATTTATTTAGCATAATTTACATAAAATTTAACTTTAAATAATAAATAATAACAAATTATTGGTTGTAGATTCTTTTTGTGATACTTTTGCAAGTGTACCTCCAAATACAGTAGTTCCATCTGAAGTTGATTGCCAACCTTACGTAGAGAAAGCCATCAAAGAACTAGGTACTTCAGAATCTACAGGTAATTATTTTGATTATGTAAATTAAATCAATTTATCTTGATGGAATATTCTACATTCTCTCATTTCAGGAAGTATAAGACACGACGATAATAGGAATCATGAAATCCCCACAGATGGAAATCCTCCAAATGATAATGCTAAGAGTCCGTCTACTCAAGATGGTAATATTGCGGATGATAGCCCAGCAAACACACCAGCCCAACCGGTAATATGAAATTTACAAATATTTAAAGTAACATTAATGTTTACAATACTCTTTAGAAAGAATCCAAAGAAGAAGAAGAAGTTACCAGAATAAAAATAAATTCTGAAAAAGACGATAGTGAAATCGATGAACTCTACATTGAGGAAAATGATATTAAAAATTCAATTGACGATAACAGCCAAGTAGAAGAAATTAATGAAAATATAAGTTCAGATAATTCTAAAGAGGACAATGATGTTGAAATAAGTTCTGAAGAAGAAAATGAAGAAACTAGCGAACAAATTGAAGAACTCAATGAATATAATGAAGAAAATAACGAAGAAAAAAGTATTAATGAATCTGATGATGAAAACGAGACTGTGGCTATAATTATTGATAAAGAATTGATTAAAGATAACGCTGATATTTTAATTGATGTAGAACATTTAAAAAAGAACTTTATCCAAGAAGTTGAATCAAAAAGTTCAAAAATTGTTGATGATAAAAAAAGTAAAGTTTCTGAAAAAGCAACAAGTAAAAAAATTTCGACGCCATTGCAAACATTCAAGGGAACAAAAAAGAGAAATCCGAAGTATTGGAATTTCGATCCTGATGAATTTCCATCAGAAGAAAATAGAGCAGAAAAAAAAATTGAAAAAAAAAGGAGACGTAATCCAAAATACTGGCATTTTGATCCTGATGAAGATGGCACAAATACTGAAGAAAATAAAGTAGAGTCTCCTAAGCCTGATAATAAACAGAAATTAGAGAGTAACTCATATGGATTTACTTTCAAAGGTACAAAAAAAAGGAATCCCAAGTATTGGAATTTTGATCCTGATGAATTCCCTACAGAAGAAGATACAACAGAAAAAAAAACTGAAAAAAAAAGGAAGCGTAATCCAAAATACTGGCATTTTGATCCTGATGATGATGGCACAAATACTGAAGAAAATAAAGTAGAGACGCCTAAGCCTGATAATACGCAGAAATTAAAGAGTAACTCATATGAATCTACTTTCAAAGGTACAAAAAAAAGGAATCCCAAGTATTGGAATTTTGATCCCGACGACTATCCAATTGAAGAAGAAAAAAAAGAAGAACTGGTAATAAAGAGTAAGCGCAACTCAAAATACTGGCTTTTTGATCCAGATGAATATCCGAAAGGCATAGATATAACTAAAGAAAAAAAATTAGATGACAAAAAAACTAAAGACTCAACTTTTGAAGGTCGTAAAGTAGAATATTTGCAAAAAGATCAGTATTTATTAAAAGAAATCCCACAAAAAAATGAGAAATTAGAAGAAAAACTTGAGTATAAAGACACTAAAAAGGAAATTACAAAAAAAGATGAATCACTGCAAGCAAAAATTAAAGAAACACAACAAGATATGTATTGGAAAACTGGAGATGATGAAAAGCTATTAAAAAGAGAAACAAGAGAAGCTGTTAAACCATTAATAAGACCCGAGAAAACAACAAAAATTAAAGGTAAAGTGTTAATAGCAATTTATTTTTTTTTAATTAATAGTTAATTATAATTGTTTTTCATCAGTTGAAGTACAAGTTGAAGATAGCTTATTAGAAGAAGATTTAACCATGGTAAATAACATTTAATAATATACATTTTTTTATCATTTTTACGAATTAATTCATAAGTCTTTATCATGAATAAAATAAAAATCTATAATTAATTGAATGCAAAAAAATTGTGATTCATATAGGATGAAGTTTTACCGAAAAATTTAAGAAACAAAGCTCATATCAAACAAACATTACAAATTGGCGAAAACACTGCACAACATGATAGCTTTTTATCAAAAGTTGTAGACGCAACTTTAAAAGAATTAAAAAAAGTTTATGACACTGCAATTAAACCTTTAGAAACTACATTTAAATATAAAGATTTAAGTAACAGGCATTTCGGAGGTATAACTTTAAAAATTGTAATAATTAACTATTATTTGAAATTATCTTTATATTATTAAACTTTTTTTTGTAGAGCCAGAAATATTTTCTAAACCATTAGTTTTATTTATGGGTCCTTGGAGTGGTGGTAAATCATCAATTATTAACTATCTGTTAGATATAGAATACTCTCAATTTTCATTACGAACAGGTAATTAATTTACTTGTTATAAGAATATTAACTTTTACTTTAAGTTATTGGCATTTTAAGTAATATTTTATAATCATCAGGATTAAATAAAATTTTAATACATTTTCTCTCTCCAAATTCATTCATTTTTAATTACATTTTTATTTAAATTTTGTAATAGATTTTTAATTAAATAATTAGTAAAAAAAGAATTATACTATAATCATATTTTAACAGGAGCTGAACCATCTCCAGCATATTTTAATATTTTAATGTATAACAATCGAGAAGCAATTTTAGATGGAACTCAATTGGCTGCAGACTGGACATTTTCTGGTCTACAAAAATTTGGTCAAGGTCTCTTGGATAGACTTCGCGGTCTTAAATTACCACATCCTTTATTAGAAAAAGTAGTATTTCTTTTTTTAAATCTGTAATAATTATGTATAACTTATAATTATAATCTTATCACAGGTGAATATTGTTGAAATTCCTGGAATCATGGAAATGCGTAAACATGTAGATCGTGTATTTCCTTTTAATGATGTTTGTCAATGGTTCATTGATAGAGCAGATGTAATTTTTCTAGTTTATGACCCAGCAAAATTAGACGTTGGACCAGAAACTGAAGCTATTTTAGATCAACTAAAGGGCAGGGAATACCAAGTATATTATACTATAATGTAAGCTTTAAAATTATCACTCAATGTTCTAAATCCAATATTTTTTTTATACAGACAAGAATAGTTTTGAATAAAGCGGATAAAATTCGTGCTGAGGAGTTAATGCGTATACAAGGTACTCTTATTTGGAATATAAGCCCACTGATGTCAAGTGCCGAACCACCAATTATTTATCCCGTGTCTCTGTGGTCAAACCCATATGAAGCTGGATCTCCAGCTAGATTATTACATTCTCAAGAACTGGCATTTTTAAAAGATATTCGTACTGCTATTGATAAACGCGTTGAAAACAAAATAGCCAGTGCCCGGCGGTTTGCAGTAAGTATTTAAGACTATGAGCAAATTGTATAATGAATAATTTTTATCATACTTATTATTTATTTGTAGGTGAGGGTCAGAAATCACGCAAAAATGGTTGACTGTTATTTAACGACCTATTACAACCACAAGACATTTTTCGGTAACAAGAAAAAGATAAGTGACGACATCATTGAACATCCACAAAATTATCATATTTATGAAGGTCTCAGCACTCTTAAAAACATTTCGAGGTATGACTTACCCGATCCAGATGTATATCGAGATTTTTTCCACCTTAATCCAATTTACGAATTCAAAAGACTGTCGGAAACATGTACATATTTCCGAGGATGTCCAATTAATAAGTTAGATATGGCTATAGCTTATGATCTGCCCGATCTAATCGGTCAATATAAAAGACAAGAAGAAGAACTGGTGACAGTTGATGAAAATGAACCTTAAATAAATGCGTCATAAGTGCAAAGAATCAACATCGTTAAAAACAACAATATATATATATATGTATATCACATTATCAATTTAAATTGTCATCAATTTATAATTATATCAATTAATCGTATTCGTGTAGACTGTTTTTTTAATTTATATTAAATTATTAGAAATGTATTATATTGATGGTTAAATGTTAATAAATTTTATGTTATTATTGAAAAAAATAAATAAATCAAATATTTATTTTATTTGATAACAATTTTTATTTTAATACCTGTCATTAAATTTATCTAAATAATTTATTTAGATCTACTAAACATATAAGAAAAACACAAGTTATTACCATAATATTGAGCAGACCTAGTTAAAAAAATAAATGAGTACATAAATATATAGAATATTTCAATAAACGAGTACAATTGGGTAGCAATTTTCAAAAAGGGCTCATTTTAGAAGTTTTTGAAAATAAAATTTTTTTTCATGTATGGGCTTATACCGTTTTAAATTATGGAAATTTGTTAAAAGCTTCCATTAAAAGGTTATGTTTTAGCTATATTTTTTAATATATTTAAAAATATGGTCAAATAATATCTATATTATTATCAATATCTATATAATATGAATAATATCTATTAGTCATAATGTGTATTCAAAGCAATCAATTCAGGTGTTCGAAAACTAATAACTCCTCAAGGCTTAAATGTAAAATTATTTCACATATAAAACTTTTCTATACATAGTGGATAAAAAATAAAAATACTGTACTGTTCAAAATAGAAAAAAAAAAACAACCCAGCACAGGGGGGTCGCGGCACAGTGGTGACGTGGTATAGATGGATCAAGTATAATGATATCTGACAGTGATTAAAATCACTATCAAAAAAAAACGCTTCGATGCAAATCTTTAGATAGTGTTTAATTTTAAAAAATTGGTGGATTATTCCAAAAGCTACATGATCTGCTAGTTCATTATTAATATCCTAATTAAGATAAAGTATGTCGAATGAAAAAGGGATTATTAAAAAATATTATTTCTCATAAAAAAATAATGTTGATCCATACACTTTTCAATATGTCATAGCATTATAAAGTTAAAAATGTAAAAAATAAAATCGAGAATTTTCACATAATAATAAAATTCGGTAGCCATTTTCATCGTGAAGATAAAATAAAGTCCGAAATTTTTTTTTTGCATATTAAAATAAATTACATTAGCTTTAATTTAAGATATATATAAAAGTGTCAGACTTTCCGGAACACTTTCAAAATTTAAGTTGAAAAAGTAAATTTTTTGTGAAAAAGTGGTCATTTTAAATCCCCCCTTGTGGGCAGGTTAAGGGTTAAATTTATGAAAAAAATATACCAAATGAAAGGTAATGATATTATGCATCTATATAAAAAA